AAACATTGAAACATTTACAAAATAAAGTGTTGAAATAAATTTTAACCGATGCAGAAATATTCAAATATAAAGAATTTATATAGTAGTACTGCAAAATAAAGAGAATAATGGGCCATAATACAGAGAAAACAAGTAAAATGGAACTACAAATAAACCAAAAGACTGACCTGGATAAAGACTATAGGTAGTCCTTAACTTACAACAGTTCACTTAGTGACCATTCAAAGTTACAACATCACTGAAAAAAGTGACAACTGATTCCTGGAAAGAGTATTTTAGATAGGAATAATTGTGGTGTGATGACAAGTAGAATGGAAATGAATCTGATAAGTGTTAGAGCCCAAGGCAAAATTAATGGAAAAGAAGCACTCATTCAATGAGCATATTGCAAAATGGCCAGGCTATAGAGACAATGTAACTGGAAAAATATTAAAATACATATATGTGGTTTGCTTATGGGATCTTAGTGCAACTTCTTTATGAAGATTGCATCTGATGGATTTAGTAAAAAATGTATGATGAAGTGTCACACTGCCTCTTTCAAATCAACCATGGTATGTGGTGTGATACAGAGGGGCATGGAGAGTGCTGATTCATAGAGTAGCCAAGGGATGGACACAACTGAATGGCTGACGACAACAATAACGATGATTAATCAAAGAATTGGATGCCCCTCAGAGCTAGGTTTACTGCATTTATTTACAGCACAAATCACAAGCTTAAAAATAAAGAACATTATTTATTTAATCTTAGTAGCCAAATTAATAATTGTGCATCATTCAGAAACTAGATAATACAACAGCTGAGTTCTGGATTAATAGGGCCTCTTCAATTATAAGAAACGGTTGCTGGAATTGGGTATGTCTAGTTTAATGAAGAGAAGTATGAGGGGTGACATGATAGTAGTGTTCCAATATCTCAGGGGTTGCCACAAAGAAGAGGGAGTCAAGCTATTCTCCAAAGCACCTGAGGCCAAGATAAGCAACGGATGGAAATTAATCAAAGAGAGAAGCAATCTAGAACTAAGGAGAAACTTCCTGACAGTTAGAACAATTAATCAGTGGAACAACCTGCTTCCAGAAGCTGTGAATGCTCTAACACTGGAAGTTTGTAAGAAGAGATTGGACAGCCATTTGTCCAAAATGGTATAGGGTTTCCTATCTGCGCAGGGGGTTGGACTAAATGACCTCTAAGGTCCCTTCCAACATTATTATTATTTATTATTATTATTTTGGATCATCGCACAGTCAGCCAGATGTTCAGACTGGATTTGGCATTTTCTCTACCTATCGAATCCTTACCCAGGACCTGGTATAGGCAGATGTGGATGTTTGATGGTATTACAGATATCGTCGCAGGATGGAAGCAGTTCCTAGTAAGGCCGCCTTTTGTAATTGACTAATAGCGAATTTGTCAATGCCAGTGGTGTTCAAGTGGTGTTCCAGTTGTTTTGGGATTGCACCCAGGGAGCCTATTACTATTGGTACTACCCTTGCTTGCTTTTGCCACAGTCTTTCTATTTCTATTTGTAGGTCTTTGTATTTTGTTATCTTCTCCAGTTCTTTCTCTTCTATTCTGCTATCTCCAGGCACTGCCACGTCCACTATCCAGACTTTTTTGTCTTTCTTATCGACAATTGTTAAGTCTGGGGTGTTATGTTGCAGGTGCTTGTCTGTTTGAATTCTGAAGTCCCAGAGCAGTTTAATTTTATCCTTTTCTATGACTTTCTCTATTTTATGATTCCACCAGTTTTTGCTTACAGGCAAATGATATTTTTTGCAGATCTTCCAATGCACCATTGTTGCTACTTTGTCATGCCGCTGCTTGTAATCAGTTTGTGCAATCTTCTTGCAACAGCTTACTAAGTGGTCCACTGTTTCTTCAGCTTCTTTGCATAGGCGGCACTTACTGTCTGTTGCTGTCTTCTCAATTTTGACTTTATATGCATTTGTCCTTAAGGCTTGGTCTTGTGCAGCCAGAATTAGTCCCTCAGTCTCTTTCTTTGATTTTCCTGCTCTTAGCCATTGCCAGGTCTTGTTATTATCTGCTTTCCCAGCTATTTTTTTCACGTATTGGCCATGTAGTGCTTTGTCTTCCCATGCCTCTATTCTGTTCTTCATTTGGTCTTTCTTGTAGGCCAGTTTGGTCTCTCCAGTAGTCAGTAAGCCTTCCTGATATACTAATTTCAGTGCATCTTCATCCTTGTTCTTCAGATATTCTTCCAAAGCCATTTTTTCTTCTTCAACCATCTAATGTACTTGTAGCATTCCATGCCCACCTATTTGCCTTGGTAGATAAAGTCTATCAATGTCACTGCGTGATGAAGGGCATGATTCATTGTCATTATTTTTCTGGTCTGCCTATCCATTGCTTTTAGTTCTGCTTGAGTCCAGTCCACTATTTCTGATTCTGGATGTTGTTCTTTCCAGAACTGGTGCATTCGTTTTAGATATCCTCTTCTTGTTGGACTTGATCTGTAGTAACAGATCATTATTTCTTTATTTTCAATCACTGTGTATCTGCAACGGGTAAACACCTTTTCTTCCAGTAGTTTTGCAGCTGCTGGCCCTGGTTGCTCAGCCAACAGTCCTCTGTAACCCATTTTTCACCAGATATCCAGGAACTCCAATATCTAGCGCGGACCTTGTTAACCCTGGCGACATCCGAGCCGGTATGGCATTCTGTAATTTACGTCTCACCATATTTTTTATGGGAGAGACACTCTTTGTCTGACTCCTCTGATGAGACCTGTCCAGTATGGTTGAACCTCTGGCATAGCTCTCATCTTCCTCAGAGTACACAAGCCCCACAACCACGTCAAGGTAGTGCCTCACTGGGTTTTTTTTATTATTACTATTATTATTATTATTCCATTAGAAAAAAATTATAGAGTTAAAGAAACATCAGCGGCAGGAACCACAAATTTTTCAAACTTGGAGAGATTTAATAGTTTATGTCAATAGCAATAGATTTAAGGTATACTTTAGGTCATACTTTATAGGGTCCAGCCAATTGATATTAGCGTGGTCCCTTCTTTTTTCGCTGATTGTTTCCAGCATGATTGACATGACACATGATAGCCTTTGTTTGACAATCCTAGCTTTGAGTGATAGTTTGGTGAGGTTTGGTCTAGGACTTCTTTGTTTGTAATTTCTGCGACCCATGGGAGGCATAATAGTCATCTTCAGCACCACAGTTTGAAGGCATCTACCTTTCTCCTATTTGCTTTTTTCAGAATCCAAATTTCGCAGTCATAAGTAGCAATGAGAAAAATTATTGTGTTGACTAATCTGCATTTGGTTGGGAGGTTGATATTTTCACTCTTCCAGATGTTATTCATGCCCAACATCTTTGATTAATAGTATTGACTATTTTATAAAAAAATGTATGCCAAAAGGTTATATTGATGACCACCCCCCAAAAATGGCCTTTTTTTTACAACCTTTCCAACATTTGGAAGAATAATTATGATATATGTGCCAGCCTAACAGGAGTTAAGTAGTAGAGATGTATAATCTTTCATTGCATTTCTTGCTTTGAAGCTGAAGTGAATTTGCCTGGTTTCCAGAATGTCTGACAATTTGTCTGCTATATAGAATTATTAAGATCAATGTCCTGAGCTTCCTTTGAATTATATGGTAGATCCTTTATTTCTGATTGGAATAACAATATATTAACTTAGACTATTTGATATTTCATTTCTTGGCCTTTTGTTCCTTGATATTTCAAATGAGAGCATATCACATATATGCCATAACTATTTTAAACCCTTCTGCATGAAACTTGAAAAATGTTTAATCCACTGAGCACATGTTTCAGCTGGTGTCCAAATGTATAGTATCTAAAGTACCAAGAATTATTTAAACAGATAAGGGATCAAGAGATGCTACAATACTTTAGTTCAACAGATGCTGTACAATATTATTAGCATACATTGAATTATTATGATGTTATGGAAAGAGCTGAGTGATGAAATTGGTTTTTTTTTTAAAAAAATCTCTGTCTCTTGCGTATGAGATGTTCTTGCCAAAATCACTGGAGCGTAAGTATAAAAAAGAATAATGCTAATATTCTGAGTACAATATAAGTGCATTGGCCCATATTTATATCTACAGATGCTATTCTTGCTCCATAAAAGGGCCCAGGTTAAACTCAAATATATGGAAGGTGGTTTGAGTTTTATAGTTCAAGTTATGATATAATGTACTGGAGTTATGTCTAGAATCAAAGCAAAGGTTTAACACCTGATTAAATAATTCCTTTAGGGTACAGGGAAAACTGAAAAAAGTGTTCTGTAAAATAATCTGTTGAGATAATCTTATTTCTTCCGTGTCAGAAATTGCCTCTGGGACTGTAATTTTTCCTATCATTGAGCTGGCATGCAAAGATTTAGCAGGATGGCACATGATTAAACTGGAAACAAATGCCAAGCTTTTGAAACTGTTGCCTGCAGGATAATAACTCAATTAACTTTTCTTTTTGTGGAAAGTTAGCATCTGCATGAGATACATAAGATGCACATTTTAATTAGTTGAAATGGTTACTTTCCCTTGGATATTTTGCTGGGAGTTTTCCTGGACAAATTCTGGATTGTGCTAACATTATTCAGGGGTATTTTCACAAGTGGCACACGTACAAAAAAAACCTGATGATGATCTTCATTTAAAAGCAATATTACACTTAATAAAATACAGTATTCCAAAGTATGTGTATATAAATTATGGCTTTAAACTGCCAACCAAGCAAATTAGGAGGTACGTCTCCCTGAATTCAGTGAAACTTATTTCTGAGAAAAAAATACACCAAATTGGGTGATCATAATCATGTTTTTATACTACTTTGAACAATCTATTTTGTTATTTATATATTACATTAGGGTGTTTTAAATGAAAACAACTCTAAAGGAACATGTATTGCAGCCAGTGTAAGGTGTGAATTTAAATCAAGCAATAGATTTAACAACAACAACAAAAAGATCCAAAATTCACTGCCTCTTTCAGATTCGCCATGGTCCTGCGATGTGATACAGAGGAGCATGGAGAGTGCTGATTCACAGAGTGGCCAAGAGTCGGACACAACTGAATGGCTGATGACAACAACAACGATGACTAATCAAAGAATTGGATCCGCCTCAGAGCTAGGTTTACTGTATTTATAGACAGCACCAATCATAAGCTTAAAAATAAAGAACTTATTATTTAATTTTAGCAGCCAAATGAATAATTGTGCATCATTCGGAAACTAGATAATATAACAACTGAATTCTGGATTAGTAAGGTCTGTTCAATTTGTTATTTATATATTACATTAAGGTGTTTTAAATGGAAACTCTAAAGGAACATATATTGCAGCCAGCATAAGATGTGAATTTAGTAAGCAATAGATTTAACAAAAAAGATCCAAAATTCACTTAAGAAAATACTCAATAATGAAATTAACAAAAAAGAAAGGAGGAAATACACCATAGCATTCAGATACAAAAAAAGACCAAAGTCATGCACAATCATGCATTTTTCCTATTTCAGAAAACCAGAGCAAGGGTTCACAGATGCTGAACATCCTCGTCTTGTGATTGGTCAAAACCTACCTCATCCCCATCCAAAATTAACAGAAATGATTGATGGATTTCCTCCCCCCACATCCAGCTGGTCACATTTGGTGATGGGGGAAACAAAGGCATGGGGAATCAACCTATTGCTTCCTAAATTTGTCCAGATTGAACACCACTCACAAGCCTGATTCTTAGACAGATTAGAATTGGACTATCAAGGCAGCACAATTTATTCTGGCCTTCTTTTCTGCTAACTCAAGAGACTGGAGGAATATATGTTAACCAGGCTGTGAGAAACAGCCCATTGCTGTCATTTTGGCATGCTTATAATTGAGTGATTCTAGAAAATACTATAAATTGCTTTTGGGAAATGACTTGGGTAGTTTAATGGCATGAGATGAGCTGGTCTTTGAAGTTGCCATGGGAGCAACGAACAAACACTGACAGAAAAGACACTGACAAAAAAAGTGTCACTAAATCACCTAGAACTTAGAGGTGAGATCTGGGATGATCTGTCATAGTTCTGAAAACCTATGGAAATCATAGCATAACAGAATCCAGAGACATTATAGGTCTAGTCCAACCACTTGATGACAGATGACAACAGCAATCCTCAGAGCATCCCAGAGAAACTGTTGTTCAACCTTTCTTTGAAAAGCACCAGCGATGGAGTGCTTATGACTCTAAATATTCTGTACCTTGCTGCAGAAAAATCTAGGACATGAGAAAAAAACTTGTGAACGGTTCATTGGGCTCTTAGTGAAGAAAACCTCCTTTCTTGACTGCTATTGTATATAAACAGCTCTAATGCTTCAATAATTAAAGAAAAACATCTTCATAGTCATGCAAATTCCTTTGCTTAACCAATTCCTCTCACAAATCACAGGGCCAGCGGAGAAATTAGGAAGACCCTCCGTCTTCTTTCCTCATTGTTTCAGACATTCAGTTATTTTAAAACCCTACTTTATATTTTGTTAATTTTATTTAATAAAATAGTGCAAAAACATGTATATGCATCTATCTATCTAGGTACATTTTATAGGTGAATGTATACACCATTAGTGTGAATTACAGGGCTAAAATCTGATTAGAGAAGAAGGAAATACCTTCTAAAAGCAATTAACTAAACAACAACCTTAGATATATTTATTAATTTATATATTCATTCATTGTAATATTTAGCTATCTCTACAAAAGTTCAAGGTGGAGTATCTGGTATTCAATTTTTCTCCATAATAAAAAACATGAATAGCTCACCTGAGAGAGAGACTCTTGGTTCAGAGTTACACAGTGATCTTCTATGACTGAAGGTGAATTTAATCTTGGGTTTTTCATATTTCTAATTAATGTCTTAACTGCTCTATCACATTAAAACACCACTATTATAAAAGATAGGAATCAAAATACGGAATTGTTCGTAGACACTGACCTTCCTTCTGCCTTTGAAGGAAAACTTTAGGACAGTGGTCCCCAACCTTTCTGGCTTGGTGGACTGGCGGGGGGCAGAGGTTATTTCTGTGTGAGCGCTGGTGCATGCTTGCACAAATGGCAAGTGCTTGCCCACCACTTGCGTGACCCAGTTCCAAAGGGGGCACAGCCCAGAGGTTAGGGACCCTTGATTTAGGAAATAGTTAATTTGAAAAAAAATGCCTTGGAAATTAAAGCAAGAGGGGAGAGTCGGGATTAAAACTGTCCTCACGGTAACACCACAACTATTGTACTGTGTATATCAAAACTAGATGCAGGCCTTATGAGAGACGTCTGCCCAAATGCAGTTCATTCCTACATAAAAATGGAGAATTGAGTGCAATTTTCTCTACAGCTAAAGAGCAATGATTGATTAGTGTAGGGAGTTGCTTGTCCTGAAGTGTTCCTGCCAAGTTGTTCTGAAAAGTCACTGCACTAATTCTTTTTCACAGGTTCTACACAATCTCTCCCTCTGTAATATACTACCTAAAGTGACTTTTTGCATCTTGAGAGATGACCTGTCCAGTCTTGGCTGACCCTGGGATCCTGAAATACTGTTAGTCTCCTCAGTATTCAGCTGTCATCTGCAGTTGAATGATAAGGTGGAAGCCAGCTGATAGCTCTTGTTACTTCCTTATCACTACCCTCACTCTAACCTGCTCAGTGAGTAATAACAATTCCCAGGGAAAAAGAAGCTTCTAATCAATTATTTATTTTGATCTGAAGGCTTTGCTTATCCCATCACCCACTGTTATCATATAGAAAACTGGAGAATCTTATTAATCAGCACTGCATAATGATCTAGGCATGCAAGTATCTTGCAGGTCCACATCCTGTTTCGGTAAAAGCAACAAAAATGCTTACTGTCTCTCTTCCTGTTTAACGGATATGGCTGTTATAAGAAACAACAAGTCTGGGTGATTTGCACAGTTCCTTATCAGGCAGCAGGTTAAATAAACCAGAAGCAGGAGGAATCAAAACACTGGGGTGGTGTCATTTCTTGTGCATATACACAATCTGGAAATGGGAAAAATGACATGTTCTAGGATATAAGAACTATGTGATTTGATTGCATGATGACACATTCCTCAAATATTCTGTGAATTACAACTCTGAGCAATTTCTCTGTTAAATGATTTCAGCGTTGAAGCTTAGCGTGAGTTATTTTGAATGGCCTTTGGGGAAAATGTGAACTCTTTTCTGAAAGGCTTTGGGCTACTGCCCACTAATGAGAGACAAAAAAAATTCCCTCTTTGGTATCTTGCTGGCTTGCACTATTGTCTTAAGGTTTCAAATAAAGTTTTAATATCTCAAGTCTGAGAATTGTGCTTTCTCAGCAACAAAATTGTAGAACAAAATAATTAGATATTTGGCAGAAAACTGATTTCAAGGGTAGAATCTAGGTTGCTGTTTTTTTTAATTGCAGCAGTTTTGCAGGGGTATTCTCCTTCTGCTATTCTTTTAAAAAGTTCTCTTCATCACTTCCTTTTTTTGTCATTATTAGCTCTTTTGTTTCCAAACATTCTGAAGAACTTTATAGGAACCAAATCCCAATTCACAAAGAAGTAACTTTCTTACTATCATATGTGCAAGCTACATCTTAAATGTAGTTTTTAATGTAGAAAAGTTTATTTATTTTCTTTTTATCCTACCATAAATATTTTTAATTCAAAGTGGCAAACATATCCAACACACTTCCTTCTCCTGTTTTCCTCACAACAACAACCCTATGACGTGAATTGGGATCAGAGAAAGTAACTGGCCCAAGGTCACCCAACCAGCTTTCATGACCAAGATGGGACTGTCTCCTGGTTTCTGGCCTGATGCCTTAGCCAATTGACTAAACTGACTGCTTTGGGAATTTGGAATTGGAATTGAGAAACTCTTGCTGCTTCACTGATAGAATTCATGAATGGATTCAGATAATTTTTTCCCATTTGTAATTATGCCTTTCTATCTCTTCTTTCTTATCATGAAGTATAGATATCACTGCACAATGTCTTTGATTAGTAGCAATGTCTTTGATTTGTCCATATAAGTTACCCTGAGAAATGGAATAGTCCTTGCTGAAATGATTAACATTTGTACATATTATGAAATAAATTAATGTGATTTTTCCTTCCTTCCTTCCTTCCTTCCTTCCTTCCTTCCTTCCTTCCTTCCTTCCTTCCTTCCTTCCTGCCTGCCTGCCTGCCTTCCTGCCTTCCTCTTCCTTCCTTCCTTCCTTCCTTCCTTCCTTCCTTCCTTCCTTCCTTCCTTCCTTCCTTCCTTCCTTCCTTCCTTTCTTTCTTTCTTTCTTTCTTTCTTTCTTTCTTTCTTTCTATTTTGAGAGCCAGTTTAGTGTAGAGGTTAGAGCACTAGTCTAGGAACCACGAGACTATGAGTCCTAGTCCCACATTAGTCATATGTCAACCGTCCTACTCAGTCATTCAGCAAAGAAAGACTCCTGGCCACTTGTTTTGCCAAGAGTATACTCTCCTGAAGCTTAAATAGTTACAGAAGTGGTGTTAGCTGAATCTGAGGTTTTCTCATGCAAACAACACAAAGGAAAATTCCCTCTCCCCCCATCCCCGGCCATCCCCTGGTTATCTGAAAATGTCAAATCAGGTCCTTGTATATTGTTTAGGAAATCGGTGCTTGGTTTCCTGCTCTGCATCTCGTTATCTGTTTATCTATGCTTCTCACATGGCTTAGCTGGGCTTTCATTCCCCCCCTTCTTCCTTACATTCCAATCTTGCCTTCTCCCTCTTCCTCTGGTGCTAATGTCAGGCTGTCAGCTCATGAAGCTTGGTTCGGTGAGATGCAGCCATGACACCACAGCGGAGTGGGTGTCATTGGACCAGTCATTCACTTTCAGTCCTAGGAAGGAGGCAAATCACTTTGAAAAATTTTGTCAAGGAAACTGCTGGGACTAGTTCAGGCAGTTATCAGGAAGGAAGGAAGAGGAAGGAAAGGAAAGGAAAGGAAAGGAAACAGAACTAGCTATACTTACCTGGCACATTTGAAAGCAAAGTATTCACAATTGAAAGTGTGAGAGGTGAGAATTTCTGAAACAATACTGTGACTTATTTTCTTCTCCAATAATGTCCAAGCTGATAACATCTCTGTTTCCCCATGATAATTAGATAATAAAACAAATCTGCTGTACTGAGTGCTTTGACAACTAGCCATGGCAACGGAGAGCCTCTTGTCACTGAATTTCCCTAATAGCCTTCAATAGTATGATGACCTCCATATATTTTAAATAAGAAAACCATCTTTCTGAAAACGTACATAATAGTGCTGATCTGTAGAGAACCAGCTACAATGAAACTTCAGATCTCTAAGTTTCAAAAAATGATATAAACAATGCATTATTTAGGGGAAAAGAGAATTGGAAGAGTCTTGTCTTTCTACCCTTCCAGATGTTTTTTCCCAGACATTTCTATTAGAAATTTCCATGGGGAAAAGTGATTTTAGTACAGAAGAGTACAATAAGAAAGCATAGATGGGAGATTCTTTTTAATCTGTCACTTTTCCAAATTGTATCTTTTTATTTTCCCATTCTGTGTGTATATTTGGTAGAATCCTGATGAAATAAAGTGAAATAAAGTCAGATTGATTTGATAATAACAACTGGAGATAAAAGAAGTCAGAGCAGCTAGGTGCTTGATTAAAAATAGAGATAGCTACTCCTGCTGTGCATCAGTTTAAAACATGCAGTGCAGTACAATATGGTTTGATAGTTCAAGTGTTCTACTTCAGGGAATAGTCTCAACTCAAATGGGATGTTCTGTAATCTCCCCTCAGTAGCAGATTTTGAAGGATATTAAATTGGCCAAAGTCCTATTGAACTGAATTTTGGGACTGAGAAAAAAGTGATGTTAGCTTTGCCAGTTGTGCCCTGTCCCCAAAGTGCTGTGAGTTTATCTTTGATATACAAACTAGTAGAAAGATCTGTGGGATAATAAGAAATAACTTGAGAATTTTATGGAAGATGTTACAACTCATCATTTTATATGACTGTTTCACTCGCTGACAGTTAGATAGTCAGAAAGATGACTAGCCTGACCTTAGAGTTTGAACCTATTGATTCTGGTTCCTGCAGTCTGGAGAATTAAAGAATAAATTCTTCATATGTTTAGCAACCCTGCATATTTTTGAAGACTACTCCCTTATCATCTAGAGATCTTGAAATGGAAGGGGGACAATAATCCGTCAGATATGCTCTAGTGAACCTCACACTAAACAAAAAATTTAGATGAACTTTATATTCCTTTCCAGCACTATGTCCCAAAGGTGCTTTTCTAAAAAGCAAATGGACTTTCTTGGTTTTTTTTCCTTGAAAATGTTTTGCTTCTGGATGAGAAGTAAAATGTTTTCAAGGGGAAAAAACTCCAAGAAAGTCGAGTTGCCTTTTAGAAAAGCACATTTGGGACAACCGTGACCTGGATGATTGAAATCTCCATAGACATTTTCCAACTTTATGATTCTTTCAAGAGAAGCACAAGAGTGGAATCTGAACTTTGATACCAATCTTAAGGATTTCCATGATATTATTTGTCAAGGATTATGAGGAAGCAGCAGTGATGGGCTACTATAACTTTTCTTTCGCCATCAGAATATCAATGCCTTAGCTCTATTGCCTTAGCTCCAAGAGCTCCTGCCCTTTAGTAGATACTAAAGAATGAGCTGCTGCAATAATGTTCCTGAGCATTTTTATCTTCATTTTGATTTATCTGCCAATCATGGATGGCTTTGAGTGAATAGGCTTTCTGTACTGAGTTAAAGCCATAAGCACCACATTTCTTTTTGTGTACACACAGAATGGGGTTATGAAAGCTATAAGGATTCTTTTTTCTTTCCTCATGCCAGGGATCATTTGTGTCCAGGAACCCAATCATTTCTCTCTTGTGCATGAAATCTTTCAAATGGTCATCTGGATCAGAGGAAGCTAATAGTAACAATGTGATGGAATAGACTTTTAGGTAGCTAAAGATCTTCTGAAGTTTCCTATCCAGGGAACTTAGTAGTTGCAGAAGAAAATATTGCTCCAGAGAGAAGTACATTGTTTGGGGGAAGAGAAGGCACGTTTTAACCTGCAGTCTTCCTATGAATGTCTGTTTTGCCATTCCTGAACAGCAAGGCTTCAGTAAACAAAGAAATGACAGGAACCTCCTGAAAGAGATGGATTAGGGATACAAGCCCAGACTTCCGTTTTTGCAGTTGCTAATATAAAATACTTTATTAACTAGGTTATTGTATATTTAAATAAAGCCTAGATGTCCACAGAAGGTCACTCCATGTCCCTGCTGTACAGCTCCTTTGGCAAGCCATTCACACTGTTGTTTTATTTGCTTTCATTACCTCACAGAGCAGAGAACAAGAAAGAAGAGCACAGAGATGACCCTTTCACCTGCACAGTTCAAAATCTTGGCTGCAGGGCTGGAGGTTCTGCACAGGTCTGGGGACTACAAAAGAAAGCTGCAATGAATATATAATAATCACAGAATATTCAACTTGTATTATGCTTTTACCTGGCTTCTTTTTGTCTCTTGTGACTAATGCAGTGGATAGACTCATCATAAAGGTTTAACACAAGGATAAATGGTATCCTCATGCAGTTCACTGGATTTGTGGTTTATCTTACACAATCCATGTTGGGAACTGCCCAGAGTTTCATATAAGATAGGCAGCTATATAAATGTTTTTTTAAAAATAAACAAATGTTGCTGGAGTTGTTTTCTAATCGCTAATCAATTTAGATTTAGATTGACCAGTTATTGTACATTGCCCTGAAAAAAAGAAGGCTCCTCCTCCTCTTTCCTGCTGTAAGCTACAATAAAATTAATTACTCAGAGATATAAAATATTCCTTTCAAATCCATGTTCTTGCGCCATTGCAAACACAATGACAGCAGAACCAACAACTGCCTTGCCAGATTACCCTGCAGGAATGAAAGGTAGATTATGCTCAGTATGTTGTATCACAAGATTGGGGTTTCTGCCCCATTTTGCATTTTTTCCTTGGAGTGAGATATAATATTGGCTTAATAGTATTTCTGAAGTTCAATCACTATCAGCAACACATAAGCATTATTTTACATCTCAAGTATTGGTGCGGGAATCTTCCTAATTTCTGCTCTCGAGGTCACAGTGTTGAGAGTTTGGGGTTTCTACTCTGCCTTTAGACTTCTATCATGGACAGCATGGGACGTAATCTGCTGTGTCGTTTAAATTGTTAGAAGCAGTTTCAAAGAAAAAATTCATATAGTGGGCTTGATGCAGTTAATCCAGTGGATCTGTTCACCTGCTCTGAACTGGTAATCATGGATCAGTGGGCTTGATGCAGTTAATCCAGTGGATCTGTTCACCTGGCTCTGGACTGGTAATCATGGATCATCAACAATGTCAAACTTGCACCATCCGTGCTCTCTTCAGCACTTCTGCATAGACATCCTGCCTTATGTGAAGGCATTTGTTGGTAGCAATTGGTGTATCAATGAGCCACAGTGAGAATCTGCAAATTCTTGCCCCTGTCATGCTTCCTACATGTTCTTGTTGAGCAACACTTTTACATCTATTTATTCTTTTTCACCCCTTTATGGATTACTGCCTTGTCGTGGCGAAGGGGCTTGTGTAACTCAATGAAGCTATAAGCTATGCCATGCAGGGCCACCCAAGACGGACAGGTCATAGCAGAGAGTTCTGACAAAATGTGATCCACTGGAGAAGGAAATGGCAAACCACTCCAGTATCTTTGCCATGAAAACCCCATGGACAGTACTAAAAGGCAAAAAGATATGACGCTGGAAGATGAGCCCCTCAGGTCGGAAGGTGTCCAATATGCTACTGGGGAAGAGCAGAGGGCTAGTACTAGTAGTGCCAGAAAGAATGAAGTGACTGGGCCAAAGCCGAAAGGACGCTCAGCTGTGGATATATCTGGTGGTGAAAGGAAAGTCCAATGCTGTAAAGATTTTTTCTCCATAGGAACCTGGAATGTAAGATCCATGAATCAAGGCAAGCTAGATGTAGTCAAAAAAGAGATGACAAGAATGAACATCGACATCTTAGGAATCAGCGAACTAAAATGGACAGGAATGGGTGAATTTAACTCAGATGACCATCAGGTATACTACTGTGGGCAAGAATCCCTCAGAAGAAATGGAGTAGCCTTCATAGTCAA